TGAATCCTGACGTATAAAAGAAGGGTAGATGCAAGGCACCATGTGAGTGTGTGCATGGTAGTTGGTGACAGAAACGTGACGACGTTTTCTCTCTGCAGCCTGTAGAGTACACTAGTTATCGCAGCTCCGGCTCCAGAACCTCCAGCAGGGCCGGGTCAGCCCGTACCAGCCCAGTGGTGAGCCTCTCCTCCCCAGACACGCTTATCCTCATCCTGGAGTTTGAAATGATTTAGGCTGCATGCCATGTGGACATAACTTTAAATAACAAGATGCTTTCATTGACCCATCGTGCATTTAGACTGAAACATTTAGCTCACGATTCACTGTTTGGAGGATTTGTTCACTCAAAGTGTGTTCAGACACACACAGAAATATTCACCCCTTACAGGCCTTACTCCTCCCGTTTCCATCAGCTCCACTCCGTGTGCGAGGTGGTGTACTTGCAGTCAAAGTGAGCAGGGAAAGTGGAAAATAGCTCAACCATAAATAAGAGCAGTTTGCAGTAATGACTCTCACAGGGAGCTAAAATCAGATTTAAAAAAATCTTGATTATTTAAAACATTTCATGTCATTTATCTTGGGCATGTTGATATTTTATTTTTGGCCGGTGTTTGCCAAAGTTGGGAAAGAAGTTTCTACCAGCTCTGCAGCACAGATGTGACCCACAGACCATTTTTGGGTGTCAATGGCATAAAGAAGATCCGGAGTCTGTGGCAAAATCTCGTGGCACAGTGTCAGATGATTTTTCAGATATTTCTAACTCTCCTAGCACTTAAACTATGTTGAGTATTTGATCTGAATGCATCACAGTTAACACTGTCTGCAGATATCTCCAGCATGAAAACATACCAATGCTCCGTATTTAGAGTATAAACAAAAAATCACTCCTGGTGAACTTGTGGAGCGTCACTGCTAAATACATACCATCAAGTTTATCAGTAATGTGGAGATGAACTCCCTGCAGGTCACAAAGGATAATCCCTTTCATGCCTGAAGTGTGGGCTTGGTCCAGAGTGTGTGATCATCGGAGCGGTCGAGTGAGCTTTGGATCAGCTGCAGAGCAGTTCCTGACTGGGACCATCTGTCACCAGCTTGCAGCTGCACAGAGTCCTTTAAGTGAA